TACAGATGGAGCACCTGCCATGGTTGGACGTTATTGTGGATTTATAAGCTATTTAAAACAAAATGTGTCAGGGGTGTTAGCAATACATTGCGTCATCCATCGACAACATTTAGTTGCTAAAAATTTGAGTTTTAAATTGCATGAATCACGTCATTTAGTCATTGATGCAGTAAACCGAATCCGAAGCAACGCGTTGAATACGCGGTTATTTGCGCAGTTGTGTGAAGAAAATGACGAACACTTTCATCAATTACTCCTTCACACTGAAGTACGCTGGCTGTCGAAAGGCTTATGTTTGACAAGATTTTTGCACTTTTTGAAGCTATTTTAGAATTTCTGGATACGAAAGATAGAATTTTAAAAGAAAATTTAATGAAGAGGAAAACACACATCGCCTATTTAACAGATTTGTTTACAAAATTTAATATGGTTAATTTGCAATTACAAGGCGACAGTTTAAATTTGATTAAAACAAAGTCCATCTTATCAGCGTTTCTTGCCAGAGTTAAGCTAATGAAGCAAAATATTGGAATCTCTGTCTGTGACAAATTGGAATTTTCTCAGTTCCCCAATTTGTCACAGACAAACTGCCAGACTTACGTTCAACATTTAAATGCCCTCTATTCAGATTTTGAATCTATGTTTGAGGATATTTTGACTGTGGTAATACCACCGTGGATAATTAATCCATATGGTGACATAGAAGAAACGAATGTCATAATACAAGAGGAACTGACTGAGCTAAGTACAAACGAAGAACTTAAGGTTCAGTTTAAAAACGGATATCAGCAATTCTAGCTGCAAAACAACATACCCGTTACTTATCCCGTATAATGGAATATAGCGAGGAAATTTTTAATTTCCTTTCCATCGTCATACCTAACGAAAAAAAGAAACAGACTGGACATCATTAGCCGTGGAGATTTAAGATTAACCCTTACAAAATTGACGCCAAATGTTGGTAATTTATTATTAAAGCATCAGGTTCATCCTTCTCGCTAAAAATGTTGACTTATTGCTTATGTTATTTTATTTATAGTTTATTTTATGTTACGTATATTTTACATAACAAATACAAAATTTTATTTTGAGTAGTTTTAATTTAAATTCAATTAATAAATGTATAAATTAACATGTGTTTTTACTTTAAGTTTTTAACACTAAACTTCACTACAGTTAGAAATTTACAGGAAATCAATATCAGGTAAGTAGGGGGTCTACCCATTACTGAAAAACATGGCAAGGGGTCTACGACACAAAAAAGTTTGTGGAACTCTGATCTAGACACTGTTTTATCCCTTGCCTGTCATACTGTAGACTGGTTACTGCTCATGGGTGATTTTAATGTAAATTATGCCAATAATCCAGTTATGCACTGTTTTGAATCTTTTGGATTTACTCAACTTTTGAATATTGCTACAAGAGCTACTGGCAGTTCACAGACTTTGATTGTTCATTGTATTTCTTACCACAAGATTACTTCTACTATAATCAATTTGCCATCGCCTTCAGTTAGTCAAGTATTTGCAGAGTATAGATGTTTTCGTAACTTTGTATTAGAGAGATTTCTTAAGAGACCTATCATTACTTCCATGGTTTAATACCCTATCTACTTCTGAAATTGATACCAGGGTTCAGTTATTCAATGATTAGATCATTTCAGTGTTTGACATCCATGCTCCATTTGTTAGAGAAAAAGATAACAAAAAGACGTGCGCCTTGGACTACACAAAATTTAGAATATCTTGAAAAACAATTCGTTGCAAAAATTCAGACGCACTAAGCAACCTTCTGATTTTGATAGATATAAGGAACTCTGTAATTATTCTACTCTGTCTGTAACGAGAAATGAGCGTAAAGCATATCTAGAACATACTCTCCAACACGGTGATGCTAAAATTTGTTGGAAAAATGTGAAATATTTGAATGTATACGCTACATCCCTTCCTTTAAGATTTTCTGATCCCAACATTATAAATGGATACTAACTTGTCCACTTTTTTACAGGCTGTTAACATCAATTGCGTTGAAAAAATGCATTTTTATAGCAGTGACCCTCAACTTACTTTTTCATTTCGATTAATTACTGTAGATGAGGTTAACAAGTATCTAAATTAAATTAAAACTGATTCTTTTGGTGTTGATAATATCAATCGAAAGATGCTGAAAATGTTTAGCCTATTTATCGATATGCATATGAGTTGAATAGAATCTAATCACTTTTACAGTCACATAATTTACAACTTAATTCAGCTAAATCTAAAGTTTTATTTTTTGGTTCAAAACCTACTATTAATTTAATGAAAAATGGTGTGAGCCTCCAGCTTGACGGTGCTGGTCTTGAAGTCAGCAATTATGCTAGAAATTTAAGGCTTATTATTGATAGCAATTTGCGCTTTTTTAAGCATGTGAAAACACTCATAAGCAAGGATTATGCACTGTTGATGCTAATTTATAGCAACAGGCATATACTTAATCTTGAAATGAAGAAAACGTTTTGTAAACTGCTAGTTTTGAGTCATTTTAGTTATTGTGATTTAATATATGGCTCTTGTTTAGTACACTCTGTACTATTTATCTACTGTGTTAAATTCAGCTTACTAATCGTTTTTCATATATGCACATATGCACCAGCTCCCAAGGAAAAAATATTATTTTTTGTTTAGTTCTTCGAGTGTGAACTCGCTCGTAGTTAAGTAGAGTAGCCTGCACCCAGACTTTGCCACAAATCTACTTGATTTTTCTATATATTTGTTAGTTTACTATAACAAAAGACTTATTTTATTATGATTATTTAAATTTCACCGAAATTAATGTATAAGTAGGCGATACCTGAAATATATCAATGTAAGCTCCCAATGGGACAAGTCTAAATATGCCTAGCACTCCGGGGGTAGAATAGCCAATACGAATAGGAATAGCATTATATTTTTAAGCTAAATCCATTATAGAACATACAACCCCCGTGGCGCAGCGAATGGACCACCACATCAGCGTCTATGGAACTCAGTCGGTGCTTCAATTTTCCAGTGGCGTTTCCTCTACCAATAGCTGCATTTATTACTCTTTCCTCTTTCTCTCTTTGTCTGGTTTCTCGTCAACCAGGCCGGCAGATTGATAAACAGGCAAATATACTTCATTCTTTGATATAAAGGTCCTACGAATCGCCTTGATAGACAACGACGAAACGACGAGAAGCTTAAATGCCAGAACACCGCGTCTGCTATGAGGATCTCAAAGAAACTTTATTAGTCCGATTTCTGAACTGCCTAAGGTTAGTAGAACTGGGAAAAGCCTCCTCATGTAGCCTGTTCCACAATCTCGATAAGCTAAGGACAAATGAGGGGTCGAATCGGCTAGTTCTGGGTGTACAAAGTTCGACACGGCTAGGCGTGTCTGGCTGGCAGGCACACCGCGGCATCATGGAGGAGACCTCTGAGGAGCAAAGCCCGTTGGCGCAGCGGTAGAAGAGGGCTGGATCGCCGACGGCCATATTAGGAGGAAAAGTTGCAACCAGCAGCGTAGCAGTGAGTTCAGGCTCCATAAAAAAAATCATTTAGGTTGGATAAGCTTGATCTGATTCCATACTGTCACCTAAATACCGGTAAGTTTTGTCCGGTATTCATAATCGATATTAGTAATGTTTGTTACATCTTGGATACATTTAAATTACCTGTGCGACGTCAATGGTCGCTCCCCAGGTAGATAGGTAGTGCATATTTTGGTGGCGAGGCTCCATCAGAGAGCATTAAGAGGCGCTATGACCGCCACTCCTCCTCCCATAGTCGGTTGAAATTAAAAAAGCAAAACTTGCTGTGAGGCAGTGTTTCCAGATCTACCGATTTTTCGGTAGATCTACCGATTTTAGTCCTATTCCACCGAAGTACCGATTTTAATGCGAAATCTACCGAATAATTTCTCAAATTCTTAAATAGCATACTTCCGATATAGTTCAACGAAACTTAAGAATAGAGCTCGGGAATTTTCGATTACAGAGATTTGGAACTTTTTAACACACTTTTATTAGCTTGACCTGTACCAAATTCTAGAAGTATGATTAACTTGAAATTTTACACAGTGGTTAAGGGCAGATGACATTAGAATAAATCTTGGCAAAAAATCGAAGTTGTAAGTTATTACAAAACTTGAATTTTGAAATTTGATAATAACATTTGATTTAAAGATTTGAAAATAATTGGAAAATTCGGAAAATGATTTGATTTTGAAATTTGAAAAAAATGGAAATTTTGAAGAAATGAAATTTGGAAAGAGATTCGGTTTTGAAAATTTGGGATTTTTGGAAAAAATGAATTTAACATTTAAAAAAAATGAATGTTTTCTATCAGCAGATAGATCAGCAACATACAAGTTTCACAGGTAGGGTCCGAAGATAGGTCCATGTGGTAGTCCCTAACATTGATGCCGCGTATTGGTCGAACGGGCGATATTTTTGTTGTAGCTCCTACCGAAATCTCAAGAAAAAATTCGTACAAATCTTCCAAAAAGAGATCGATTATATCTGGCACCACTGTGCGAGGCTATCAGAACGGCTTTGCTGGGGGCCACGGACCCGGCCGCACCGCATACCCTGGCCAGGCTGGTACCGAAGCTCTGCGGTGGCAAGTGGAGCGTGCGCTGTCATTCTATAGCGCCGCAGCAGGTAAGCAGTGTCGTAGATTTAGGGGGACTTATAGAATACAAGTTCATGATACTAGAACTCGAGAAATCTGGATTTTTCTTTTCTATCTCTATTTAGCATTCGGATTTCAAAATACATTTTACATCTAAAAAAAAAGATGCTTGGCATCTGCACTTACACTAACTGGCGTGCCTAAATCAGTTAACGATTTTAAATAATGTTTGGTTGATTTTAATGACCTTGCGTTGAATTGTCTAGAATATGGTCGAGTTCATTACGTTTAATAAGAAATTATTAAATTTGTGTTACTGACAACATTTCGGAATCCATTGTTCGCAACCTTGTTTGTTGTTTGGAAAACTGAAGAAACACCAATTTCAAACGTTTTTGCTTGGACAACCCACCACTTCACAGTACACCATAGTTAAATGGCTAATTCAATGTTTTTATTATATTTCACACAGAGACCATATTAAACTAACGTTTATCAACCAGCTCTGCGAAAGAGATAAGACTGATCATGGTTCATCTTCTCGAGTAATAGTATCATGATAGATGTGTTTTTTACACCATTTTTCAAATGACAAGCCAAAACGTAATTTTGGGTCGTTTTGTGAACCCTTCATAATCGCTGCAAGCGTTTGACATTGAATTGGTAAATGTACTTTATTTTTTCAGGCATGAAAAGGCTTCGGTCCATACCACCTACCATTTCACTATGTCCATATAAGTAAGGAACACCCTATATACTGTGTCAATAAAAAAAGACGTATAATAAAATAATAAAGCAGTGACGTTCATCATGATCCTCAGATTATTAGTCATGATCGAAGCCCTTGTCTCAGCATGGGGTCCAGCAGCACGGCGCGAATGTCTCTTCGCCGTGGAGGTACCACGGGTACCGTAGCCGGTGTGTATCAGCATGAATGGAACAGGTTTTTTATGGAGCGCCGGTGCCACGCTGAACAGCTGCCGCCGCCGCCGACGCCAAAGATACCTCCACGAAGGTCTCTTCACGCCCAGCATCCCAAACGACCCGCTGACTGTTAGTTCGAAGAAGCCGCCGTTGTTACCATCATCACTATCACCGACAAAGTCATAGTGCCAACTTTTATTGATTGTGCAGCATCAACCTACTACAACATAGACACAGCAACAGGTGTTTAATGGTATGTATGCATTGGTGATAAAATGAAATCTTGAATACTGTTTCCAGTTGCTACTTGTATAAGTCAAGCATTTTCATAATTCAACACTCTTTAATTTCCCATGTTTATCTGGCCAATCAAAACCACATGTTTTGAAAAAATCTTCTTTATTGAAAACGTTTCAGTCACAACGGTGACCTCCTTCAGTACAATGGCTTTTATTTATATGTCTTCCAGGTGACACTTCGTTTGTTTTTTCTTTTCATTTCCACCTTCCTAAACAGTGTCTTGCAACAACAGTGTGAAGGACCCTGTAACACGATGAGATTGCGCGAAGTCTGCATTCTGAATTTTAACATCGCACCACGCAAAACCAGCATAGCCCAGAACTTCCTGGGGGTAGGCATCGACACTCCCAAAAAGGTCGTCCAGCACTCCAAAACGACAAACGAGCATGAGCTCGTTCTGTTGTTATTTTAATGTACCAGATGGACACCCTCGTCCATCGTCGCGAAGACGTCAAAGACGCTCCAAAATGACGCGGAAACCCACCCAGTACTGTTGTCGAACCCAGTGTGACCTTTCACACTACTGTACTGTTTAGGAATATAGTAATAATAAGTTTTTTATAAATACCAGAGCCCCGCGGCTGGTATGAGGAGCTTAAAGAAATGTTAATTCGATTTTTGAACCGTCTAAGGTTGGTAGAATTGGGAAAGGTGTCAGCTGCAAGACATAAATAGAATATTTTGCCATAGTGATTGTACTGTACTTATACTGTCACCATTTTGACCGAAACGGCTTGAGAAATGGATTATCGTCATGAAAACCACAGGATAAGTTTCAGATGTTATATTTTATATTATCCAACCCTTTTATTTTGCAACTAGTCAAACCTCCCTATTCGATTAAAGGAATTCTTGATTTTCGTATCTGCTACTTCCCTTTGGATATGGTTCGAACTTCTATGATTAAGAATGAGAATTATGTAGCTCATAATAGAAGCTTTCACATTCGGTTAAAATTAGAAGCCCACAGTTCTTCTGCTATAGCACCTTTAGATTCTTTATTGATATTGGGTATGACAGAATGATAGCGTATTACTGAGTATTCAACTGATCATAGTAACAGATGCCCGAAGAAGCTAATAACCCAGACTACCCGTCACTCTCGGTAACAATACGTATGTTCTAATGCCCAGCGATACATACAATTTCCAAATTTAGGTAAAAAATGGCAAAAACCAAGTTGCCTCACGTTTATGCCAAATTCGGGTGATTTGTCGTCCTGATTTAGGACAGTCGTGTACCAAAATTACATTAGGGGAACAAAGATACCTACCTACCTCTGTACAGGACCTCAGTCGTGGAAGAAACTGCTGTTTCCATTATCACCTGACGCGTAGTCAAAAGCATATTGGTACTTTCTATTAATTATGGAATTTTACTCCTACTACCAGCAACAAATGTTTGACGGCAATGCGTTCAGCTTCTGTATAGCGAGATACGGCTTTATAGCCGTAGATGGTATTCAATCAAAGCTAACGGATCAATAAATCTAATTAAACGATTGTATTTTGATTTAATTAAACTAGTTTCGTTGATTGAAGTAAAATGTTTTAGAAACCGGAGAATTAAACCATTCGAACTTGTTAGCTGTCTCATAGTTAATTGAAATTATTAATTGCCTTGATTGAAATTTTAATCGGTTTAATTTTTTCTCAACGCGAACATACAATCCAACTTCAAAAAATAAATTAAGTTATAATAATTTCCCAAATGATAAGAACTATGGAAATCAAAATCCACATATAATGTATAATGTATTATGCGTGTAAATAAATTCCGGTGCAAACTGGATTCCAAATGTTTGATAACATGGAAGGGGTATATTAGGTCTGCTGGAGGTCTTGTATGAGAATCTTCATTTTTAAACGAACTTGTGATCACGTTTTGATCTAGGCTATTGCAGCGAGCCTTTTCTATATTCTCCCATATTTATTGGCTAACCGGAACCACGAAGGTATGTTGAAAAAAATCTTCTGTAATGTAAACGTTCACATCTCATTAGATTGCATAGGATTCCAATAAATTGGCAATCTAATATAACTACATGAAAATAGGTCTGAAAATCTCAAAAATTATGGCTGAGTAGAAAAATATTGCGCGTTTAAAAGCGCCATAAGATCAACAACAATCTAAAAGATTGAATCGTAGGGGTTATCAAAAAAGCCAAACCAAAGTCTTAGGGGTCCCCCTTTCGGATGTTTTTCCAAAGTCCCGATTGCATTTTTAAACTTTAGTAGCCTTGAGATCAGTTCATTGAGATAAGAAAAATAACTCATGCTGCAAATATGACGCCAGAAAAGTATTTTCCCTTTCCCTAGTGTAGCGATAGAAGACTTGCTGATCAACAGAATTAATATCTTCCCAGGCTTTACAGATTCAACACTGGTGTGATAATGCTTCCTCCTTAGACTTATAACTACCAAAGAGGCATTCATGTCGGCTGATCGAAGTCCAGATCACCGAGGACTTTATCTGGCACGAAAATATCTTGTCAATAGCGGCAGCTGCTAGGCTATTTGATTACGGCTAAGAAGTATTCTTCTCCACATGATCTCCTTCTCTGTACAAGGCCTAGATATGACCTAGCCTCGAGTATTACTCGCGTATTTGGGTGCTGCCGCCTCGACTAACGGACAGTCTCAGGGCCCTTTCGCACCTACGGCACGTCAGCGATCTAGCTCTCTTCTTTCGCTAAGCCAGTGGGCTTTGCACCTCAGAGCTCTCGTCCATGACTTCGACCTCCCATCCTAACCGTGTCGAACTTCGTACATCCAAAACTGGCAGAAACGACCACTTCTTTGTCCCTAAGATATCGAGATTGTGGAACAACCTACATGAAGAGGCTGTTCCCAGTTCTTTAAGCTCCTCGTAGTATCCGTGGAGCCCTGGCAATTAGGCTTCTGCCTACTAGGCTACTTCGTGTAGAAAAATATTATCCTCATATTCTAGGAAAATCCCATACTCTTTGAAACTTGTTTTAACTATTGTACTTTAATGTCTAGAATTTTTTGTTTATTTTTCAAGTATTCTGTTTTCATGTGTTTACTCGGTTATACCAGTTGAGCTATTAAAATTGAATTGGTCATTTTGATTCAGGGGACCTTTAGATGAAAGAAAAACTAGATTGATTAACTCGAGAAAAAGAAAACTGGCGGATTTTGAAAGACACAAGTTTTTAGTATCTGTATTACGTTTCAGTATTAATCTGTTCCTTATTACAACAATTGAATCTACGGCAGTCCTGAATATTTCTGCGAGCTGCCAGAAAATATTTGTGTCTAAAAGTCCCTTGTTCGATCAAACGAACTTGAAACGTAATCAGGTATAAACTAGTAAAGTACTAAAAGAAAATTGACACGAACATTATTTAATCTAATGAGATTGGCCACTTAAAATTCTATAAACCGTATGAAATAAAATTAAATGTTGATTTTCTAGCTATCCCATTTTGAATAATTTATAGAAAATCGCTACTTTTGAGACTTGTGCTTTGATTTCTTCTGAGGTTATATTTTGTTACTTCTCCATCAACTTTCATGATATGTTTCCAAATAATGTATCGTTGAAAAAAGCTTTAAGTGAAAAATTAGTCCAGTTAATGTAGGCATAGCAATTAGCTTAAACGTAATTCTGTCTAGTGTCAAAAATATTACAGCATCAGTATTGGTTACAATGTAAGGGTTGATGCTCAACTAACTTTGCTTGACGACAAACTGTAAGATAAGTGAAAGGGATAAATAAAACAGAAAAATGATGTTATTCAGTAGACAGTGATTTACAGGGTGACTTCCAAAAGCCCTGTTTGTTTAATGCTCGTTATGTCTAGAATAAACATTATTGTAAACTCAAAGAAAATCGAAAGTAGTTTAATAGAAAAACTATAAACGATATTCGAAAACAATTTGCGTAGCAAAATATCATCGTACAGTTGTATATTTCTAATTTATTCCGTGGCGTAACAAACCTGTTTTTTTGACGAAATACCTTATATTTGACGCGAACATTATTTAATCTAATGAGATTGGCCACTTAAAATTCTATAAACCGTATGAAATAAAATTAAATGTTGATTTTCTAGCTATCCCATTTTGAATAATTTATAGAAAATCGCTACTTTTGAGACTTGTGCTTTGATTTCTTCTGAGGTTATATTTTGTTACTTCTCCATCAACTTTCATGATATGTTTCCAAATAATGTATCGTTGAAAAAAGCTTTAAGTGAAAAATTAGTCCAGTTAATGTAGGCATAGCAATTAGCTTAAACGTAATTCTGTCTAGTGTCAAAAATATTACAGCATCAGTATTGGTTACAATGTAAGGGTTGATGCTCAACTAACTTTGCTTGACGACAAACTGTAAGATAAGTGAAAGGGATAAATAAAACAGAAAAATGATGTTATTCAGTAGACAGTGATTTACAGGGTGACTTCCAAAAGCCCTGTTTGTTTAATGCTCGTTATGTCTAGAATAAACATTATTGTAAACTCAAAGAAAATCGAAAGTAGTTTAATAGAAAAACTATAAACGATATTCGAAAACAATTTGCGTAGCAAAATATCATCGTACAGTTGTATATTTCTAATTTATTCCGTGGCGTAACAAACCTGTTTTTTTGACGAAATACCTTATATTTTATTATGTATAATGAGATAAGCGTTCTAATAAAGCAGTATGAAACTTGATATCAAAAGAAACTTATAAACGCTAATTCGGTGGGGTAAAAATAGCAGAACCCTGATGAAGCTGGCGTATTTTTTCGTGCTCTTTCCAAAATTCAGTGAAAAGATACGCAAAATGGCAGATGTCATAGCCTTCAAAGATAGGCTTTTCTTCAGACAAAAAGTAACTAAACAAATGAATATCAAAATCCTACGCTGTATTATATCAACATTCTTGTTTTCGAAAGGTACTACCAAATATCTAACATAATATGGGGTGTTCCAATAAAAAACA